TTGTTATGTACCACCTCACTCAGGCGATGGGACAGGCACGTTAATGTCACCCTTGGCCTAAGATGACACCCTTTCTCAGCCCGGCTGCCACACCCACCAGAGGGATGTGCACGCCACGCCCGCGTTCTCAGGTGACGACTGTTCTGAGTCGTCTGTCACACTAGCTCTTGCCAAGTGAATGACGCCTCCTTCCCACGGCTAGACGTCGGGCAGCATGGTAGGAAACGACACACCCGAGTGACAGAAGGAATGCAGAACAAGCCACGTGCAGGCCGGCAGCCAGTCTCTTGTGAACTGAGCCGTGAGCACGCGCTCACCGTGACAGCAGTTCCGTGTGTGCATGTCGTTTCCGTAACCCCTTAGCGGACGGAGCCAACGTCGTTTACAGATGTCACTGAAGCGCTGGCTTTTAAAACACACACACACACGCCTTGTCTTACTACTTCTCTGCCTGAGTCAGCGTCGCTCAGAACGGCTGTGAGTGACAGTTCATCAGTGGCTGTCACAGAACACCATGACGTCTGAGGGACCCTTGGAATATTATGGGATATATTTCTTTTCCTCGAGTCACCATGTTCAGCATTCGTGTGATTTCTTCGCCTTTTCGTGTTTCAGTTGGGATAAGTCAGCATCAAGCGCCTTTTAAGAAAACGTTGACCGTTCTGAAATCCGAAGCCTGCTGGCCAGTTGGTTCCCACTACCCACCCTGTAATGTCCTGCGTGGCACGGGCATCTCACGTGGGGGAGGGGCTCCGCGGCACCCTCGGAGTCCACATCAGTTGCTTCTGGTCATAGACTCTCCCGATGCCCTCAGCCCTTGGCCTCGACGCAGTCTCACGGTCCTGGAGATACGGTGCTTCTGGTTTCCCTGACCACATGGGCCACACGCTCCCTCGTGACCTGCTTATCAAACCTGCACCTTCCTGTATCCTGCCGGACGGTCACCGAGGAAGGGTCTCGGAAGTCTGCATTTAGCGGTCTGCCAGGTGACCGTGAACACGCGCAGTGAGCAGCTTGGCCCAGCCGGTTGCCAGTTACCGTAGGACAGTGGGTTTTAGGACTTGCAGACGGTGGATACAAATGTCTTGGCACTTTGGGGGCGTTGACATTTGTCATCTACCTTCGTGACTCGTTATCGGGGGATCTCTTTGAAAACCATCAGTGTCTGGCTTCTCTAAAGTAATCGGAAGAACCAATAACGAGATGCTTTTGATGTGCTGTAGCGGCCACGCTCGTTCCCAACCCAGCCCCGTGTCCTTCCTTGGGGGCGGCCCTCAGGAGTGTTCGTCGTCGGCGCGATCCCGGCGTCAGCCCTCCTCCTGGCTCCAGCTCCGTTGCGTCGGCTCCGCGTGTCCGTGGCAGCCCTCGCAGTCGGCCGTCCGTGCCTCTCCGCGCGTGCTGGCCAGCACCCTGTGACACCTCGGCCCCTCCCGGCACACAGCACACCTGAGACCCTGGGGACGGGCTCGCACTTCCATCGTCAAAGGTCCTGTGACGTGACTGTTGCGTAGGCTTTGAACTTTCAGTTTTGGAAAACATGAAACAGGAGCGTGGAGACCAGGGCCTCCCGGGCTGACGGCCACTCCTACTCCGTCGGCACCGGCCTCCTCGCCGCCCACCCCGGGTGGCCGCGCCCAGGCCCCATCAGCTCGTCCGCGAGCAGTCGGACGCACGTCCCCAGAGGAAAAGGCACTTTCGCAGCCACGCCAGGCAGCGTGGTGGTGACCGCCCAGGCTCGCCACACCCAGTCTCGTGTACCCCCGGGTCCCTGGAACCTGTGAGTTTGTCCCTCGCTCTGCACGTTGCTGCTGGATACCTGCTGCCCGCAGCGGCCCCGCCGAGGACCGGCCTGGGCCTCTGTGAGCTGGCTGCCACCGCAGCTTCTGCGTCTGGACGGGAAGCTCAGGGCGACCTAGGAGGGTCTTGTCACTCAGAGGAAGAAGCTCTGAGAGGCCACAGGGTCAGTGGCTCGGCAGCCAGCCTGAGGATGCGTCTGCTGGCCAAAGACGGGACAGCTGAGGCCCCTGTGTGGCCGTGGGGATCAGGCAGCCAGGCCCCTGCCTCCACCGGACCACCCACCGTGGGGGCGCGTCATCCACGCTGGGTCATGGGGACGGCCAGCGCCTGCCTTCCTGTGCGGGCCGCGCCTCAGGGACACCGCAGCGTCGACGGAGTCACATGTCTCCACGGCGGGTAAGGGCGTCAAGGTCGCCGTGGAGGGAGCAGTCCCACACTTGGGGTCATACCGCCAGCCCGAAGCGTTCCTGCAGAAGAAGAAAGAACAAAGAGTCTTGAATTAGCTTTTTAAATGTTTAGTGTCTTTTTTACAGGGAGAGAAAAAGACCCCGGTTTTTTCTTATTTTTTTCTCTGAGGAGAAAAAAAGGTAAAATTAGGGTTACTCAGAAAAGAAAAGGCTGGACCCTTATTTGTGAGGCTCGGCCTCTGAATTAGGCAGTGGGGACGTCATGGGGACAGTGAGGGCGGGGCCGGAGGGGGCCCCGTGCGCGTGTGCCCCACGGGCGCAGCTCGCAAGTCCGCATCCAGCATGGGCGGCCACCGCCATCGTCTCCCATGGCGAGGGCAGGACCAGGCAGGCACCTGCATCACCATAAAAGTGACGTGAAGATAGATTTGAGCGCACGTGAAGCCTCTGACAGGGAAGTGGGGACGTGTACGGTGACGCTGAGGGACGGACATGTGTGGCTCCGTTCCGGTTTTTTTTGCTCCTTCTGCTTCCGCTGCAAGGAAGGAACTGTCGGTCCTGAGCTGAAAGCCCGTGGGGCTGTGATTCAAGGGGGTGGTTTGAAACGTCGGCTCGGTCGTGTCACCCGGCTGTGACAATCCAGGGATAAGCAGAGTTTCAGAGCCGCGTTAGCTGCAGCGGTGTCTGTCATGCGAGGGCACAAGGACGGTGGGCAGAGCAGGGCTGGGTCTCCCTGACGGACACCTGGCGAGGGCACCAAGGGGCCAGCTCTGGGGAGAAGGAGCCTCAGGCACGAAGGTGGAGGGAAAGGGAGCCGTTGAAGCCGGGAAGCAGCAACAGCTGCAGAGAAAGCGAAGGCCGCGCCTGTTGCTCCGTGAGTGACACACGGCTGTGACCGGAGGCCACACTGTGCTGCAGCCGAGTGTCTGTTTCTTTGAGTTTTACGTGCTGTTTCCTTCCTGTAATGTGAACTGTTCTATAGTTTCACTGGTTTCGTTGTTTTATTGAAAAACTGGGCTCCCTGAGGAGAAAAGAGTTTGCATCTCCTCCTGCGTTGTCCACGCTGCCGGTGACCCTGTGGCTCGGCACGAGTCTGTCACCGGTGCTGCCGCTCCGCGGAGGTCATGACTCAGCGACATGACCAAGCAGAAGTGGGCACCGTGTGTTTAAGTGTCGCCCCAGCAAGGGACTGAAGTCCTGGAGTGTCTGCACAGATAAGCTCCAGGGAGGGCCTCTGGGAGGGGAGTCAGGGAGGCCGAACAGCGTCACCGGGTGACGGGCGAGTCCCATCCACAGGTGTTGATAAGCTCCAGGGAGGGCCTCTGGGAGGGGAGTCAGGGAGGCCGAACAGCGTCACCGGGTGACAGGCGAGTCCCTGCTGGCCTCTTCGTGCATCTTGGGTCCAGTGTGGACGCTGACACCCAGCTCTCAGGCCCGTCCTCGCGGTGCCGTGGACAGCCCAGGAGGGCGGCTGCGCGTCCCGCGGGGCCACAGCGTGGGACTTACTCTGTGTCCGTGTGCTCTGTTGCAGGCGTGATCCTCTACATCCTGCTGGTGGGCTACCCGCCCTTCTGGGACGAGGACCAGCACCGACTGTACCAGCAGATCAAGGCCGGAGCCTATGACGTACGTGACAGCCACACGCTCACGCGGGTGGCGGGGGAGGGTGTTTTCTGTTCCGCGACCAGCTCTCTGTCACCGCTTCACCTGTGACTTTCTGCAGTTGCCCGTTACTTGCCTCTCTCGAGGAAACGAAGGTCAAGAGTAAGAAAAGCAGCTCGTACGGGCTGCCCGTGTACCCTCTGTCACCATCTGCTAAGGCTGGAAGGAAAACGGCTTGAGGCGTCTAAGGACGGACCTGGCTTGTCCAGGTGTTTGCATCTTGGTGCATTTTAACACATGTGAAAATTAAAAAACTTTGGCTTGAGAGAGGGCTGCTGCCTGTTTAGGTCAGTTCCCTCCCACGTGCCTATCACGTGGTTTCCAGTCTCGCGCCAGAGGTCCCCTCGCAGAGATCCGTGTGCCAAGTGGAACAGCTTTGACTTTTTTGTCTCTGCCTAATGGGCGTCTTTGCAAGGTTTCATTTGAAGAAAGAGTTTCATGATTGAAAAATATTTGGGAATCACAATTGCGATGCATTTTATTTACAGTTAGTATATTCGAATGTAGGTGCACACACATGCTCACACGTACACACATGCACACACACACATGCACACACACACACGAGTCAATCCTGAACCCAGCGGCCCAGACTCCTCTGCGTTCTCGTGGCAGCTCAGCTCTGTGCTCGCTGATGCAGTGTCCACATCTGTGGATCCGAGCCGCCACCTCTGGGAGCGTGCGGGGTCTGGAGGTGCTCCCCCCATAGTAGTAAGTGGGGTGACTGGCAGTGCGGGGTCCACCTCGTGTGCACGAGTTAAAAGCTCATTGAGCAAATGAGAGAACTTCCTATCAAGAGTCTGAATTATGTTCCTTCAGGTCTCACAAGCTCCCCGATGCCTGGTCAAATGTCCTGTTTAGATGGATGTGGGCATCACGAGAATTCAAAATTTGTGCTGCTTAGATTTTGAAGCATGCCATTCCAGCTAAACTGATAATTGGGCCAAGTCCTCATTTATGGGGCCACAGCTGGGACCTTCCCCATCGTCAGACGAGGGTGCGATTCCCCCTGGGGACCGAGCCCTGCTCACACACAAGGCTTGGGGACCGTGAGCAGGGTCTTCGTAAAGTGAGAAAATACAGAGAAGCTCACCTCTGCCCAGCCGAAACCAGCCCGGTCCCTGTCAGAAGGCTCACTCGCATCCCTGAGTGTTTCTTGATTGTTCCTCATTTAGCAGGTTTTTACAACTACCCGGACTAAACTTAAGGAATTAAAATAACAGCTGTTAAACTGGCAAAATTTACGAAGGTGTCAGAGTTGGCATCACTTTGTCGCGTTTCATTCGCCAGCAGGTCACAAGCTGCCCTTTCTAGAACTACTAAAAGAGGACTAACTTAAGTCCTGGACGCAGCGACCACAGCTTGTTTTCCAAGATGGTCTATGAAATTTACGAATTATGGAAAGGACCTGATTTCTGTCTGTTGTTTAGAAACTAATGTGATGTAAATTTTTTTAACCCATTGAGAAAATATTTCTATTAAATGTGCTAATTACATGAGAGTGAGTTTCCATGACTATCTTATCAGCAAAAATTCACTTAGAGAGACTGTGGATGGATAGCTTTACGAAAAGTTATTATACAGATGTTTCCGGTAGGAGTTACGAGAGTCGGCTACATTCACGAGCTTAGCTTGGGTGAGACCTGTAACGCCTCACCCGGCTTCCTGCTCACCGCTGTGCCGCGGGCCGCCGGGGTGAAGCGGGCGCGTGGCGCAGGGACCGAGGCTGTTTCCTTGGCACCACCCTCACCACTCGTGATTGGGGAAGCACGTACACCTCCTGGAGCAGTATGACAGTATATCGATCCACGCGACATTTTAGCTTTAACAGATTCTGCAAATGATTATGAGAAAGATTCTATAAAATTTTGTTTTCAGATCAAAGCAGAGGTGTTTCGAGAGGACTAGAAGATTCTTAAGTTCATCTTTCTAAATTTTTAAATATACTCACTAGGTGTAATGTGCAGTTTAGCCTCTGTGCATATCCCTCAGCAGTTAGTCTTCTTTACAATATGTAGACAGACGTGTGTGGAGGGGAGATATTTATGTCAGTTTATCTAGATCCAGCTTAACTCATACAGGAAGTAAATTTATGAAGAAATTCACGACTCAAGGAAATGATAGTTTATTTGGCTGTTTCCTGTTTCACTGAGTGTATCTTTTTAAAACTCTTTATTAATTTCTGTGTTTGAAGTTTCCGTCACCAGAGTGGGACACGGTGACTCCCGAAGCCAAAGATCTCATCAACAAAATGCTGACCATCAACCCCGCCAAGCGCATCACCGCGTCCGAGGCTCTGAAACACCCGTGGATTTGCGTGAGTGCCGGCTCGCCCGAGGCCCGGGGGGCTAGCCTGAAAATTGCACTGGCCTTTAACATTCTTTCTCATGGAGTTAAAATAATTTTTGTAGAAAACGGTAAAATGAGTGAATGAATTTTTGACTCAAGGTATTCGACAGAGCTGATTTTATAGTGGCTGATAAACGCATTTTGGGTCGCAAAATGTGATTTACTTAGATTGCTAAATGGCACAAGGCATGAGTATTCACTCGCCAGGTATTGGTAACACTCACGCACAGAAGTGAAGACGTCGGCACCAAGCTCAAATACATCCCGGGAGAAACGTTAGGCACAGCTCATTATTTATCGTGGGCGGCTTCAGCAAAGGGCGTGAGGTCTGGGCTCTGGGAGGAAGTCGCACCCTCAGGAAGGGCTGGCTGTGCGCGTGCA